CAATCGCGGCCCTGGGCCCCACTGTGCATTGCAGTTGTTGCTTCTGAGAGGAGCCAGGAAGGACTCATGTTGCTTTGTAACCAACTGGCGTGTTGCAACTGTCTGATACCCCACATATGCAAAAATGTCAAAAAGAGGCCTCACGTGGATATTCAGACCCGCCTTCTATGTGATCGTTTGAACACGCTGAACGTGCGTTCACGTTCAAACGCGCGCGTTCATACCCCCCAGGGCCACGTTCAATCGCGTTCAAACGCGCTGCGCGCCATGTGGCGCGAAAAAATTGAACGCGACCCCGAGGGGCGCGCGCGCGTGTCGCGGACTACGGGGTGGTGGGCCTCATTCAACGAACCCCGAGAGTGCAAAAAAAAGCCCCCCCCAAGCACCGCCCCCCCTACTGCATCACCCCCCGCCATATGTGAAGGGTCCTTTTTTTTGGGGTGGGGGGTTGGGGGAATCCCCCTAACACGGCTCAGACGGCCCATGCAGGCTATCTAAAGGGTCCTCGCAGCCATGTAGCGCAGACCCCCCCACCAAAATCAAGGCAGGCAGTGAATATGAAGTAGAGCACGAGCTGGGCGAATATATACTCAAGATTTGAATTCAGGTCTGTGTTTCAGCAGTTATGGGTTGGTCACGTAGCTAGGCCATGTTGGGGTCTCTGCACGTGATTCTCAGGGCTTGGCTGCACTACTCACCAAATGTGCAAAACTAGAATGAATCTTATGCAGAACACGGAATAATACGCCGCCATATGTTTTGTCTTTTGTGCATGTGGTGAGTAGAGGCCCTTTGGTGCAATTGTCTCTTACTTGGATGTTGGGAATGACCTGAAAAACCAGATTCGCCAAGGATATGCTACTGATCCTATCTGGAAACCAATCATGGATGTCCTTGTACGAGATCCGTCCCAACTACCCAACTATAGAATGACTGATGGATTGTTATTATTGATTAACCAAACTGAACAAAGACTGTGTATTCCTCATAAGGAAGAGATCAAAAGTCTGTTGATTGGGGAATGTCACGACTCTGAGGGACATTTTGGTTTCAATAAAACATATGCTGAAGTCAGAGAACGTTTCGAATGGAAGGGACTTAAGGAAGATTTACTAACATATGTTCGTACATGTCTAATGTATCAGAGAAACAAGCCGTCGCATGAGAACCCTCTTGGACTTCTCAAGCCATTACCTATACCAAGCGAACCAGGTGAGTCTATCTCAATTGACTTTATGAGACTGGTTAAAAGTCGCAATGGTAATAGTCAAGTGATGGTAATTGTGGATCGTTTCTCTAAATACGCTATGTTTGTTCCCTTACCAACAGAAGCACGTACTGAACTTGTCATTCAGAAGTTTCAGATGCGATGGGTCACTGAGTATGGGTTCCCTAAAACCATTGTGTCTGATTGAGATGTCAGGTTCACTAGTCTGCCATGGCAAAAGCTGATGGAAGCTTTATGGCACACGGCTGACCATGTCGTCAGGGAGGCATCCCAAAACGAATGGCCAGACTAGACAAATGAATCGTTTGTGCCAGCAACTTTTGCGTATGTATATTAGACCCGATTAGATTGATTGGGATGAGAACTTACCTAAGATTGCAAGTGCATATAACAATAGTGTCCACACGTCTACTGGACGAACCCCAAATGCACTTCCCAAAGCATGGAAGCCTAAACGTCCCATTGATGTACTGAACCTGGACCAATTTCTTAGGTTGCCCCCAGGGACCCGAGAATATGCAATCTTGTTTCAGGAAGACATTCAGAAAGTTAAAGATAATCTAAGGAAAGCTCAACTACGGATGATTGAACAACCCAACAAGCACCGTCGACCGTCTACATTCAAAGAGGGTGATTTGGTTTGGGTAAAATCTAAAGAGTTTTCACTAGAAGAAGATGTCTCCCAGAAATTGCTACCTGTCTATTTTGGACCCTGGGAAGTTCTCAAGGTAATTGGAGATGCAGAGGGACCGTCTTATCGAGTTGATATTCCCCCTCATCTCAAAACATATCCTGTCTTTCATGAGTCCAAATTGTTGCCTTACGTAAAAGGAAATGAGTTTCCACACAGACCCTCTATGATTTCACCAGACATGGATGGCGGATACGAGGTTGACAGGATCATAGAGCATGGCTACTTCTCTACGGGAGGACGTGGACGACCTCAGAAGCAGTTCAAGGTACGTTTTAAAACTCAAGCACCATCTGAGGACAGATGGTTTAGTAAACGTGAACTACTTGAAACTGCTCCTGATATTGTCGCTGCTTATGAACGAGGGTTGAAGTCTTAAATATTTCTGCGGTGGAACTCGAAAATGGGCCGGCGGGAACGTAATAACCCTGTTCAGAAGTAGCCTGGGGCTCAGAACTCAGCCCCAGGAAACGCAGATCTGAGTTTATCTGCGCTGGGCAGTGTGACCAAGGCACGCCCAGGCCTGAATCTGTCGAGTGTGGCTGTATGACCGAACGCTGCACACAGGAAATTCAAGAGTCAAAGTCAACTGTAAAGTCAAAGGTACCGCACCCAGGCCCTTGGTTGGATACACTCACTTGTTGTGCGCAGGTACCCAGACAGCATCCAGGGCGGAGGGAATTTGGTTTCAGGCCAATCTGGGCCCTCATTCGCATTGAGATCTGGACGGTTGAGGGATACAGCATCCGGGGTCCAGACCCCGCGTCAACACTACATAAGAGCTGACTCCCTGGCTTTGACATTCATTATGTGATGCTGACTTCACGCGTTGACTTCAACGCTGGCTCAACGCTGCAACGCTGGCTCGACGCTGCTGGCATTGTAACTTGGCGAGGCGCTGCTAGTCCGGCATGGTGGCCGGCTTGCTCCTGTCTTCTTGGCATGCTGACATGGCAGCTGCCATGCGCCTTCGCTGATGTAGCTGCTGCCACGTATATCATTTGGCTGACGTGGCTGCTGCCACGTGTTCTATTGAGGGGACTACGTAATCGGCATTGCTGTTCTGTTCGTCGTCACTTCAGGAGGAGATCAGGGCTGTGGGGAGTTCGAGGATACGTACCTGGTGGTCTTCATGTCGACATTGCTCCAGATGCTGATGTGGAACTGATTAGACGTGCCACGTGGCACAYTGAGGATACTCGGGTACTYGTTCASACTATTGATTGTTGAGGTGGCAGTAGAGGAGGGAGCCCGCAGCAGGAGTGGGCATTATACTTCCTCTCCTTTGTCTCTTCTCCCTCCCCTCTCTTCGTCTGTGTATGATTACCTCACCTCATTCTGTCTGGTTACGATGGACTATTAATAATCATCAGCTGATGGACATTTATCTGGGCTTGCATTGTTGACAACAGTCTCACGATCTGGGTTCATTACAATTATTTCATTCCTTTTGGATGGATTTCAGGATAATATTGGGAGATGATATTTCGTGTTTGTTCTATAACAAACAAACAAACAAACACTCTCACTCACTCACTCTCACACACACACACACACTTGCACATGCACGCACGCACATGTGCACCCACCCACATCCACCCACATCCACCCACACCCACAAATCAGAGTCTACCCCGAAATTCAGCTTCAGAACTTTTTCTCGGATTTTTCAGGAGAGGAAATTATTAGCCCCGGTAACCCCTGACTTGAGGTAATTCCCGCACTCCTGAAGAAATGTCTCGCCTTAAATTCATAGTCTAGATTTTTGTATACTCAATTAATAAAGTGCTAGGATCCAGGTCCTCGGCAGGCCTAAGGGGCCCCTGTTGCATCTGCGCCGCCTAAGTGAAGGCGGGCCTAACAAATCACGAGAAGCCCTCGGCTGTCAATTTCGTATATGGGTTCCAGGCAGTTTCATCGCGCCAGTTGGTTGAAGGAAACACAGGCCGAGCAGTGACGAAATTACCATGGCCTTCTAGGCTTTTCCGAAAGCGCAGGCCGTGGGCGAGATTCGCAGCCTCATACACAGACAGTTCGGAGGCCCAACCGAATGAGGCCCAGTAGCTGCACCAGAGGCGCAGCATCCTGGGGCCTACCGGAAGCTTCTGGGCCCAGACCCAGGGCAGCCAGGCTGCGAAGGCAGGCAGGCTCTTTCCATATAGGAAAGAGCTCGCTGCCTGGATGGGGGATTCAGCACTTGCATGCTGGCGGCAGCGCTGCTGGAGCGAACGCTCGTGGGCTGCTGCTGGTGCTGAGAGGCAAGGTGCTAGCGCGTGTGGTCGTGCAGGGAGTAGGGTGCTGCTGAGGGCTGCGCCATAGCCCAGCCTCCATAGCTGGATGGGCTTGGACTACAGTGAGGCACAGGGGTGGTCTTCGGTTGTACAGAGGGAAAACGTGGGAGTAAGTCAGGCGAGACAGAGAAGGATGATGATGATGATGATGTGAGGGCACATACCTGGTATTGGCGATGGTCTGCATTGGGCGACATCTTCAAGTACTCCATGGCCTGCTGACGTCAACAGTTGCATTGTCAATTAGTAGGCAGACTGTAGCTGTGTAGGAAGTAGGCTGGGCGCCGAGCGCCAATTAGGGAGATAGGGCCTGGACACTCATGTTGGTGGTGGCGAGAGCAAGCTCTCATTGACATTGGTTTTCAGTGTTACGATTCTTCATTGGTGCTATATTGGTGCATTTCTGCTTTCTGGACACTGTGATACTATCTGGCCTTCAATGTGATTATGAATTCTGGACATTGTATTTTCCTTGCAAAAGTAATTATTTTATAAATTTATACTATATAAATACTATATAAATAATTAATAATTATAGAGTTATGAAATATTTAATTGAACAAGAATACATAAAATAAAGAAAAATAAAGGAAAACATGAAATGAAGAATTTTCAATTTAGTCAAAATCAAAGATTTTATTTAAAAGATTTGATTTGATTCAAAGGACATTTTCTTTTTATCTTATCTTATTGACAACTAACTCAAAAAACAAAAAAACAAAAACATGAACCATGACCCAACAAGTGGCAATGACTTGGATGAACAGTACTATAACTGGCAATGACTCACTCCATCAAGTTTGAAGGTGTTTCCACGAAATCCAGTGCAGCTCGCGTCCCAGAGAGGTGCTGAAACTCCTGCAAATGGATCACAATCATAACACAGTAAGCAACTGAAAGAACAACAAACCAAAACAAGCAATAGCCAGCAACAAACCAAAGCAAGCAATACGCAGCGACAAGCCAAAGCCACCAAGCAAACAAACAAGCAGGTGAAGTGGGTGAGCAAAGCAAGCAAGGCATGTAAGGAAGCAAGGAAGACCAGGGAAGGCAAAGAAAACAAAACAGAACAAGTGCAGCAAACATAGCAAATTGCAAAACAAGTCGTAGACCAAGCCAAGACAAGTAAAGCAAACAAACTCAGCACCGCAAGTGTGAAAGCAAGGGAGCCAGCAGAGGAAGGATGATATGAAAAACAACAATGTTCATGGACGGAACTGCAATGCAAGCCCTGGTTTTGTGCAGCTTGTCGTGCCCATGAGGCAAATCCCTTCTTTTCTTTCGTTTTTTCTCTATTTTTGCAAGTGGCAAGCAACTGGACTGTTGTTTCCCCAGAATAGATGCGACAATGAGTTTTCTGTGATGTATGTGGAAATTAAAGAGAGAAGGAAAAAGGAAAAGAAACTGTAATCTGCTTGCCCATTCGTGTCGCGTCATTTACCACAGTCACAATGCAACAAGGTTGAAGAGAGAAGTTCGGAGAGAAGCAGAAAATGTTCACAGGCTCAAGAGAAGCGGAAGGCAGAAGCAGATGCTCATAGAAGAAACGGACACATCACAAATCCCGGTTTTGTGTGAGGTATAAAGAGAAAGAAAAGGAAAAAGAAACTGTGATCCACATGCCCATGTGTGTAGCACCATTTACCACGGACACAGTGCAACAAGATTAAGGAGAGAACGGCGAGAGAAGCAGAAAACGCTCATTGCCTCAAGAGAAGTGAAACACACAATGCAAATTCCTTCCTGCCACCATTGCGCAAAGCCTGACATGACAACTTGGTGCATTAAGCAGCACTGTCAGCATTCTGCTTTCTCTTCCCTGTACTACTAAAGCAAACAGCGGTCCTTGTGTGGGGCCAACAGAAACGGGACGGCTCCGCGCGGGACCGGTCACGGACAGCGGCCAAGGGGGAACCGGTGGACCAGCGGAACTGGCAACGAGGGTCGCACGGGCAGAAGAGGAGCCGGTTCGGCAGCCGACGAATCAGGTCCTGTTGTGGAGTGGGATGGGATGTGCAATGGAACGGGGGCAGGGAATCGGTACAGGCGGAGCCGGGGAGTGGGCGATGGGAGAGAAGCACCGAAGGGACGGCATGGATCAGCGAGAGTGAGACAAGAGGACGTCAGCGACGCGAGCAGGACTGAGGGAAAGGTGAGAGGGCAACAAAGCGGGCGGGACCAGTGCTTCGGAAGGACGGTGGAGCAGCGAGGAGGTGCAACGGAGGGCGCAAGAGCCAAGCGGCGACGAGCGTGACAGGGTATAGATGAAGCGCGTTTTGGAAGGGGAATGGATGTGACAGAGATGAAACGACGGGAGGTAGGGAAAAGCGTTTTGTAGGCGGGCAGAGCTGCAACGAGTGGATGTGAGTTCACGTCTCGATTCCTCTCATCTCCATTGGGATAGGTGCACAGAGAGAGAGAGAGAGAGAGAGAGAGAGAGAGAGAGAGAGAGAGAGAGAGAGAGAGAGGAGCCTTCTCAAAATTGACTGGAGCCTTTATCGAAAAAATAATTGCGGCATCGACTCCGACCATCGTCATGAGTGTATCGGACCTTGATCGTCGCATGTGGAGAGAGAGAGAGAGAGAGAGAGAGAGAGAGAGAGAGAGAGAGAGAGAGAGAGAGAGAGAGAGAGAGAGAGTCAATCAATCAATCAATCAATCAATCAATGAAAAAACGACCTGCTGAATGACTTCCTCCTCTTTCGACACCTACTTGTGGGACAGCAATGGTAAAGCCTCCTTCACTGGTATAATTACAATCCTCTGGCTGTCGTTGGGGAAGATCAGCATCAAGCTGAAGGGCGATTGCAAGGAAGTCTGATGGTGTATAAAACAGGCGATGGAGAATGTGAAGACATATTAGTTGCTGTCAGACCACAGAGATTGGTGAGGTTCTCAGGCTGGTTTCTTGGATGCTGGCCAACAATTTGCAGATCACCCAGATGGTGTTGCAAGCCCAAAACTGTGTTGGGTTGTTTGTTGGTCAGTCATCTACAGATGGCTCCTTTACCTTTTTAGGTATGCATCTACGGGTCCGTTCCGATGACTCGCTTCCCATGAGCGTCTTTGATAAAGCAGCTGCTTGGGACTTCCCTGTCATTCGTTATCCAAGTGCGACCTCCAACATCCCTTCCCATCACCGGCTGGTGTGTGCACTGGGCAATTGACCAGATTTGAGCAAATCTGTAACAATTGGCAGGACTTTCGAACTGCAGCAACAACACTTACTCGTCGTATGCTTTCGCGTAGGCATTCCCCACCAATCCTTGCTAAGGGGTCGACCTGCTACATGCGCTTCCGCCAACGTTGCTATCCTACACATGTCATGCATAACCGGCTCTCCACTGCTGCAGTTTCCACTGCTGCAGTTTCCACTGCTGCAGTGTCCACTGTTGCGGTTTCCACTGCTGTCGTGTCCACTGCTCCAGTTTCCGCTGCTGCAGTTTCTACTGCTGCGGTTTCCACTGCTGCTGTTTTCAGTACAGCAGTTTCCCTAACTGTAATTCCCCCTACTTTAGTTTTTACTGCTACAGCTTCCTGTGCAAAGAACATCACAATCTCTCCGACGCTCAGGTCCTTTGCTCCGAAATCTTGCCCAATGCACCCCCCTCTCAACTTTGCCTGTGCTTGGAGTAGACGATTGCGTTCCTCCTCACCACCCCCATCTCCTCCACAGTCTCGCTTGCGAACAGACTCTCCATTTTCCATTGTTCCTATTGTTCCACCTGCGTTGCGAGGTACAAGTTCAGCTTCTGTTTGCAACACCACTATTCCTCTTGTTGTGTATGTCACTTGTCCGGGGATCAGCAACCTGTTTCTATGCTGCCCCGATTCTCTTTGTGCCTCCTCCACAGGTTGTTGCGGTTCCTTTGGGGAGGTTTTTTTTTTTTTTTTTTCTGTCCCTCTCTCTCTCTCTCTCTCTCTCTCTCTCTCTCTCTCTCTCTCTCTCTCTCTCTCTCTGTGCATGTTATCCCGATCACTCATCTTCAGATGATACGTCTCTCACTCTCTCTGTGCATGTTATCTCGATCACTCATCTTCATATCATCTGAAGATGAGTGATCGGGATAACATGCACAAAGAGAGAGAGAGAGAGAGAGAGAGAGAGAGAGAGAGATGGACAGAAAAAAAAGAAAAAAAAAACTCCCTTTCCTTCCCTCCACTCTTCTTTGCTCCTCCCTCTTCAGCTGCCGTAGTATCGCTGCGGCGGGTCCACTTGTTTCCTTTCAAACGAATAATGATACAAGTGTTACAAGACAAAAGAGTCAACCCACTTTTCCCCACACGGCATGTGCAATAAACTTGCAGATTCTAGCAGGCTGTAACACTACGTAGGACATTTTTGTAATGTTTCTTGGGTTTGGGTCCTAACCATGACGACTGCAGGCCTTGTCCCTCATAGGGACTTTTCATAATTTTGGTTGTTTTAGGCCTAGCCCGTTCGGTACCGGTAGGCCTGTGTCTATTTGGTTTGTCCTAGGCTATAGGGTTTCACTCCAACAGGCAGGTTGAGGTCCAGTCCTCAATAGAATCAGTTGTAGGCACTACCAGTTCAGTCGGGTAGAAAAAAAGGGAGGCCGAGTTGAATCGAGTTCTTCACTTTTTCTTTTCGCGTTTGGTGGCTGGTGAACGTACAAGTGCTGCTGTGTGGATAGCAAGTGGAGAGAGCGCTTCTTCTTCTTCTACTAAGCTGGAGGCCATAGCTGAGGCCAATGCATTCTTATAGACATCGCTGGGATACAAGCACTGAGCGCTGTTGGCACTTCCTCATTTGTGAACGCTGTTGGGGTTGGACAACTGCCTTTGGAGCAGTTCCTCTCTTATGTATATTATGTATATATATTTTTTATATATTTGTTATGTTTTATATATTTGTTATGCATATACTCATATTCTTTTTATACTAATAAGTACCTAAAAGACTGAATAAAAAAGTAACAATGTTTGAGTGCAGAATTGATTGCACAGGCTCTTTCTTCTTGTTAGGGCCTTTCGTAATTAACTTCAGGTAACCTAACGGTCGCCCACATACTTGCTCCATTGGCGTGCATATATCGAAGTAGCCAGCCTCCTTGAACATCTCTCATAATAAGTTCTACACTGTAGAAAGCTAAATCTACATGAGGCGTATAATGCATTGCTAAAAAAATGCCTGTAATTATCTGGATTACCAAACAAATACCAGCAAGAGATCCAAAACCCCATTAATAGCTGCGATTGCTAGGACTTAAAGTATAAAAAAAAACGTATACTTATTTAGACAAACAAAAGAGTTTGTTATTATTAATGGAGAAAAGATTGGACATTCTTCTTGTACGTATGAATTTTTGCTCTACTATTTTTACAGCAAGACAACTTATAAGTCATAAAAATATTTGTGTTAATAATCAAATTATCCTTCGGCCTAGCTTTCAAGTTTCCAGTGGTGATCTTATTTCTATTCAACAAAATTGCAAGTCAACCATCAAACAAAATATAAGATATAACCGAATTTTAAAAAACAAACCATCTCAGACTGTAAATCTGTTGAAGGTTATATTTCTACGTAGGTTCGAATCCTGCCTCTCCCACTTCGTGGCCTTCATACATTCATGAATTACATGTAATGTACTTGTGGGGGCGAAAGTCTAGGATGGATCTACTCTATTATTATCTGTCTTTTTTTGTTTCGTTTTTGTTTTCGAAGTTTTACGTGTAGAAGCAAATTCTCCAAATTTATGACCAACCATATCTTCAGTAATCTGTAAACCAACAAAATATTTTCCGTTATAAACTCGTGCGTAGTAACCGACAAATTTAGTCAAAATACAAGATCTACGTGACCAAATTTTCCAACTCTGGCGAGCCACACGGCAAGT